TTTGTGCATAAATTCAAACAAACACTTTAATTTATTTTTTATTATTTAGGGAGCATTATAAATAGTTATGTTTTAAAAGAAAAAAAATAACACATTCAATTGAACGAAACTATGCATGCCTATTTAAATATATTTACACATGGCGTGTGTATATCGTATATATACATATATATTATTCATACCTTCGGTGTATAGGACGCAAGCAGATTTTGACATCAAATTTTGGGGTAAAAAAATGCGTCTTATACATCGAAAAATACGGTAAGTCAACAATATTAACTCTGACCCAGTTGACAATTCCGAACCTTCTGTAGAATCCAACAATATCAACTCTGACCAAGTTGACAATTCCAAACCTTCTGTAGAATCCAACAATATCAACTCTGACCAAGTTGACAATTCCAAACCATCTGTAGAATCCAACAATATTAACTCTGACCAAGTTGATTTTGCTGAAAGCTAAATTTTAATTATTCTTTCTATGATCAGCAACAGGTTAGACTGAGTATTTGCTTCATATTGTTCTTAATTTGTACATTACGAAATTTTAATCAGGGATATGTTAGGCCGTTTGTTCAAAACCAGAACTTGTGAGCCAGATTTAACGATGAGAAACAAAACGCCATCGCAAAACTACTTTTCAGACGAAGTAAAAATCACCATAATAAACTGTTGTTTATTCACGTTTTTATCATGTAAAATGCTACACTAAAATACCTCTTTTATCATTTTACATTTTCATCATTGTTTACACTTTTCTATTTTGTAATTTTATCACCCTAAACTTTTCCCATTGAGACCTAGAATCAAGGAAATGAAACAAAATTATTCTAAGTTATCATGAAATTAAAGAAGTTTAAATATTTCTTCTGCGTCGCAGTTACTTTACGCGGAATACAGTGATAGCAATTGGTTGAGATGATGATGGGGACCGTTTTACCCTCACGATTCACACAAAATCACGTAACGACATCAACTTTCATGCTTGTTTCACTTTAGGAAACTTATGCTGTTTAAATGTAACTTGAATTTTCTACTCTATAACTTTATCGCAATGCTTAATTTCTACAACATCTCTCAATATCAGAGATCCGGTACTTTTATGTATTGTTTTAATATAATATTATTTTTTTTGCCTTGGTTGCATTGTGAATTGATATTTTATTACTTTATTTAACTCTTACTACATCACATATAGTAAATTTTATAACGGTTAAACTTTTCCAAAACTCCAATTTTTTCCCCTATCCCGTCCATCAAAAGGGTTCTGATACCTTCTATCTATATATTAAGCACTACATTTTTTCTTCCAATTAACATGTGTTGATATTAATATTACACCCGCCTTCCTTACTGAACAAATTCCATAAAGTTCTGCGGAATGAAATTAGTTCCAAACCATAAATGTACAAAAACACATTGTTGTATGGTACACGTGTGACGTTATCATAACTTGTATGAATGTGCCAAAACTCTTTGTTGTCTGGTACACAAATGACATCATCATAACTTGTATGAATGTGCCAAAACTCTTTGTTGTCTGATACACGAATGACGTTATCATATCTTGTATGAATGTGCCAAACTCTTTGTTGTCTGGTACACAAATGACATCATCATTACTTGTATGAATGTACCAAAACTCTTTGTTGTCTGGTACACAAATGACATCATCATATCTTGTATGAATGTGCCAAAACTCTTTGTTGTCTGGTACATAAATGACATCATCATAACTTGTATGAATGTGCCAAAACTCTTTGTTGTCTGGTACATATGTGACGTTATCATATCTTGTATGAATGTGCAACAACTCACCGTTTCTGGTACACATGTGATATTCAAATATACCTGTAATCGGAGATCAGTAAAGTTTAAATTTCTACAATTATTGAAGATAGCTTATCACGTTGTTTTTACATTCTTCACTTTTTGTATTTGTAAAGGAAGAAGGAAAGTTTTCCAACGTTTTAGTCATACAGAGTAATGACTACGTGGTGACGTCACAGGACAAAGCAGTTGGTGTACAGTGTTCTTACGACGTGGGAAATAAAACTGGTGAAACTCAGGTCAATGTGACGTAAGTAAATATCCATTTTATTTTATTTGGATGAATGGAAGAAAATATTGGTTTATAATATTTTTATTGAACGTAAAGGTTGTTCCAGAAACTGGCCTATTTCAAGCCCACACGATCAAGCCACTTTCCCGCTATACGGGATTGTTTACCTTGTTAGCCCACTGGATCAAGCCACTTTCCCGCTATACCAGATTGTTTCCCTTATTAGCCCACACGATTAGGCCACTTTTCCCCTTCACGGGATTGCTTCCCTCGTTAGCCCACAAGATCAGGCAACTTTTCCCCTACACGGGATTGTTTTCGTTGTTAGCCCACAGGATCAGACAACTTTTCCCCTACACGGAATTGTTTTCCTTGTTAGCCCACAGGATCAGGCCACTTTTCCCCTACACGGGATTGTTTCCCTTGTTAGCCCACAGGATTATTTCCTTTATAAGCCCACACAAGCACGTATCTAGCTCTGTGAATAACAGTGACTCAACTTTGTATATGCTAGCGCGTCATCTTTTACAGTATCGTGTCAATTTTTACCTGGATTCCTCTTGGTTGTTGTTAAGCGTAATGCTGCACAATAGACGTAAACTGTGTATATTTAAAAATAAAGTTGGTGCAACTGTTACTGCTTCTTTTTATTTTATTGGTTATTAGGGCACTCGCAATTTGCGAATCGAGAGTTCGAATCCTGTCACTGAACATGCTTGCCCTTTAAGTTGTGGGGGCGTTATAATGTGACGATCAATCCCACTTTTCGTATGTTAAGAGAAGTACAAGGGTTGGCGATGGGTGATATTGATATGCTACCTTGCCTCTAATCTATCACTTCTAAATTAAAGACGGCTAGCGCAGATAGCCCCCGAGTAGCTATGCATGAAATTCAAGAAACTAATTTTTTTATTTCTAAATTTAAATAATTTCCGATTTTTTTATAACCGTTTTTCTAGAAACAGTTTGGGAGGGATCTGAGAAGGTGAATTGAAGGTTTCAACTCTTATCTTAGTGTTAATGGAATGTACATTCTTCCTAAACCCAAGGAGTGTATAGCTGGTGAAGGTCAACAGTCACAGCTGACGTCACTACCCATAACATAATAAAACAACAACAACAAAACAAGCCGCTCTAATCCCGGAACCTGAAGTCACAAGGTCAAAGGATTATGGCTTGGCACTCCCTAAAACAAGATCACCCATCCTAACAAGAGTCGAACCGGCTTTTAATGATCGTTAACCATGAAAGTCGGTTGACTATCGTGGCAACCATTAAAGTGACGTCACAAGTGAACGAACGCTTCTTTATTTTATTTTTTTCTTAAGTATCTGTAACTAGGCTTAAAACGACTGTATTTGGTAATTAAATTGAACGTGATAAGCAAGCAGAATTATTATTTTAGTTGCAAGTTAATTCCTTTCATAATTACATCCCCCCCCCAGTGGCACAGCGGTATGACTGCGGACTTATAACGCTAGAATCCTGGTTTCGATACCCGTGGTGGGCAGAGCACAGATAGCCCATTGTGTAGCTTTGTACTTAATTAAAAACAAACTTAA